AATAAAGATGTACATAATCAAATATGGAAACAGATTAAATACAACATAAAAATAGAAAATGTAGTACAGTATAAAATTAAAGTTGACATGTGTGAAATTTATAATTATATTGCTAGTTGTTTGATATCAAGATATAGTAGTATATCACCTTAAATAGGTAGGAGTACACTTGATTAAATATTGACATGGTTTTAATAATTAATAATTATTTTCTAAGTCTACATATGATCAACACTTTTTTGAGCATTACAATAGAGAAGAGTAGTAAGAATATTAATTAATTGATCGAGTATAATTATACTTTTTTATTGTATGTTATGATGTTGATATTTGATTGTTTATCAAGTTGAGTTCAAGATTAAAAATCTAACATTTAAGCCAAGCTTGAATTTTATGGTATTCCTGGTTTTAAACATTTAAAAAGAATTTCAAGTGTGTTATCCTCATTTATCTTACAGTTACTCAAAATTTAACATAGATAGCTTAAAACTATGTTTCACACCGCCTTCATGTTCATATATATTGCCCATCCCTAACCTTTAGCTAAGCAAAGCATATACAAACATGTGTAGTGTAAAATTATATTTGTATAACAATACGTATGTTCTTAGCACACATCTCAATAAATTTCATTACGAGTCATTCTTTTGGTTGAGCTCGTAACAGACCAATAGATGTTAAATTGTGACTTACCCAAAAACCCAACTTTCCTTTGTACTTTCACAAGCCAATTATTGAGATTTCTTTCATAATTCTTATTGGAAGAATATTCATTGTCCACATTTTTTCCATCAAATGACAAAATTGTTGCTACAGAAAGATTCATTGATAATCTTTCCAACAATAAGTGGCAATTAGTGCCTAATTGTACAATCAAACAATCACATAATTCAATTTGATATAATATATATAGCACATTATTGATAGAATTACGTGCTACAATAATCTTAATCAGTAGTAGTTGATTAAGCCAATCACCAAGTAACACCTACATAAAACCATTAGAATTTAGAAGAGAGAGAGAGTGATATGTCTTGCCTGCCATATGCCAAAATTCATTGTTATTATTCTTTTTTGGAGAAAGTGACTAACGGTTGTTTGCTAAACAAAGAATCTCTTGGCTCTCATAATTTGCCCATTTTTCATTATAATAATTATTTTTTTTTGGGGAAAACTTGGCAATTATTGATATTACTATTTTCTTTTTAGAGGTGAACGTGGTGCATGCAAAGGGATTTGTCAATAAATCCGTCTTATGCAAATATAATTTTTTAGCAGCGCGTTTTTTGTTTACTGGTTAACACATACGAAAATACTGACCAAATTAAATAACCTTTGATTAACCGATGATTAATTATTGACCAAGTAACTAACCTCGACCACACGGTGTAGTCAATCATTTATATGAAACTTTGTGAATTTTTAATATAGAATGAGAAAATGGTTGATCGACACATAGGAGAAATATAATACTCGACATAGAACAAAAAAAAATAGTTTAAAAAGACATACAGTATTAAGTATTTGATAAGGACTTTTTATTTGTTTTTTTCTCAAATGACGTGCAATAAATTTATATTTTTGGAGTTATAAAATATTGAATAAAAAAAAAAAAAGAGAGAACAAAAGAATGTGATTATATTAGTAAATTAGTAATATTTCAAATTTTATATATTTATTTAATTTTTGACCTTTGAAGGAACACTATTCTTCTTATGAATTCTAAATCTCTAATTTTTTAAGTCACAAATGACTCTAATAATATTAGTTGGTAACTTGATATTAAATTGTACTGTACTTTAGATTGTATTCTCATAATACTAAAATACGTACTACTTTAATTCACTAGTACCAACAAAAATCAATTGATTGTTGGTGTAGTGGTGATTGGGATTACACTTGGTAGAGAAGACTCGACTACACTCGGTAGAGAAGACTCGTGTTCGATCCCCGCAACAACAATTGGAAGGAGACTGTAACCTAACCACTCAGAATTAATCCCCGAATCCAGATTAGCCCAAAGGGTTAATCAAGTGGAACACAAAAAAAAATAAAAATAAAAAAAAAAAATTATTGGTATCAATAGAATTGAATTCTTTATTAGTATTTAGATTATATTATAAAATACAATTTAATATATTACAAATGCGTATTATTAGAGTAATTCAGGACTCTAGCTATTATAGATTTACAAGAAGAATGCAAAAGAAACAAAATAGTTGGATGGATAAATTAAAGACATAGACTTATTGCAACTTTGCAAAGAACATGCATGTGGTCCGACACCAATTGCCTATATGAATTGACCATTTGCTATCCTCTTGCTTTTTAGTCTTGTATTCATTCTACATGTTGTGGATGAATAATAATGTTTACAATCAATATCTTTGCCTTTCCACTTATATGCGTAAGAGTAAAGGTCAATTATTCTCTTTATTAATAAAATTATTTTTAAAATTTAAGAAATGACTCACTTGGTATGATTCATAATATTGGACTATTGTCTAATAAATCGTGAGGAATAAAGTTTGATCAGGAATCCTTCTCCTTGCCATTTGAAATAATATTTTGTGCAATTTAATTATTTTGATTGTATTTTTTGATATCTTGAGTAAGCTGATTTCAAATTTCTATTTCAATGATTTTAATCACAAAAGGTTAATAATTTCCCCAACCAACAACCCACAAGGCCACAATTATAGATAGATGGAGAATAGGGTCTCAAATCTCAATGGTAGTTAGCATTGAAGGGTTATGTGGATTTAAGAGTAATATCTTAAGAATAATTGGAGGATAGATACCATATGAATTAGGCTAAATTACAACGGCACCAAATAAAAAAATTTAAATTATTTTTATGTTTGTGATTGGAAGACAATGTTTCTTGCCACTTTGTTTTTGAAAACTTTTCACTTTAAAATAAACGTTGTTCTCTTAAGTTTGATAGATTTTGGGCTGACTTAATTTGAAGAACAATTAAAATCCATATTGCTAGGTGTACAACAATACAAGAGTTGAGTCGAGGTAAGACGAGCAAAACACAACACGACTACACGAGCATAGACCAACACAACCAAATGTAATATCTGAACTTATTTTCAAGAGAACAACACGACTCATAATTTGTACCATACGTGAACCCGCCTCTCAAACGACATTAATCAATCCATCCATATCAATGAAAAAATTAGACAAGTATAGATTCTAAAAAATAGCAACAATTAGAATACATGTTAAGTTAATTTTCTTAGAAACTTAATTTGGCACCACCTATCTAATCTACTTTAGCTAACAATAATAACAATATTTCTTATGTCAAAAAAAAAAAAAAAAAAAAAAAAATCAATATGACATCTTATTGAATGTGTCAAATTGTCAATCCATAAAGTAGAACCAAGAGTCGAAAGATGGGATATTCTCCAATCCTATTCAATCCTTAGGGCTGAGAATCGGGATCAATTTTCAGTCGACATGTATATTGTTGTTAGCCCATCTGAATTTTCGATTTGGTGGGGTGTGATATGATTTTCTAATTTTGACTGATTTTTTTTTTATTTTTTTTATACATTAAAGTTTTACACAAAAACAAATTATCAATAAAATAATATCAATAGATTTGTATTTAATGTCTATTCGTCAAATATGATTTATTTATTTTATTTTATTTTTTGAAAAAATTAACCTGCTCTAATACCATGCTAAAATTGTATAAACCTCAATACAAATTTTTAAATGGACCTGGTTCACACTAATTTATTGTGAATCACCAACATTAATTAGTGACAATATGATTGTTTTATTAATAAAAAAAGGTCACTAAATTAATATAAAGGTTATTATGTTGAAAAAAGAGTTAGTGTGACATTATAAAAGTTATAAGGAGTTAATTTTTTTTAATGAAAATTTTAATATAATGGTCAATATGAATAATAAAGATCACTATGTTAAAATTAGGTCACTATTCAACATAATGTTGTACTTTAAGTTCATAATAACATTAAAGATCACACAAGTTTTTAAAAATGTGACTGTGTTAAAAATAAGGTTATTATATTAAAATTAGGGGTCACTATGTTGAATATAATGTCAGTTACGTTGGTATAAACCTTAGGTTCACAATAATATTATTGTGGACCAGGTCCACACAAGATTTTCTGAAACCTCAAAGCTTGAATTTCATTGAATGCTCTCGTGCAAATATATAATACAAGATATTCCCTAATTTGATAGAATTAAGAAACTACCTGAGATATACTCAAAAGATATTCATGCCATAAAATAGGTAACAAAATATATCCTAAGATATTCCCAAAATATATCCCTCAATAAAATATTTATTTAAATAAGTTGAAGCTTTACTCGCTGTATTAGATTTTACAACTGATGTCTCTTTTTATTTGTATTAAAGAAGGACTATTTGTAAATAATACAAAACGGATGTAGCATATTTACTTTACACCTGATTAATTCAAAAGAGTCTTTATGAGAATCTTGTGAAGTGAGTTTTTATGTAGGGGTTTGTCATGGCTGTTGGCAATGGTTTGTGGTGGTACCACTACCACCTCACTAGTTACCTGTTGGTAAGGGTCTCAATTTTTTTTTTCCTCCTTCAAAGCTCCAACCAACTTTGCAACAAACTCATCCAAATTAATTGGAAATTGTGATCAAAATTGGACTCAAATAAATGGCCTGAAATTTTGGATTGTCCTTCATAGCTGCTGGTGTAAGAAAAGAGATGATCAATGATAAACTAAGGGGATGACAGCCTAGTCACATGAACACCGCCTAAGACACCTGAAAAAATGGCCTCGTTAGCTTTCGAGGGTGTCAGCAAAACACCCTAAAAAACGCTCTATAACTCACACCCGTTATCTGATGTCACGCATCTACTCATATTAACAAGTGCAAATGTCCATGTCAATCACTAAGCAGCAACAGAATATTCTCTTAGAATGATCATATGCTATTTGTACTTGTATTAGGCTGAAGAATAAACCTACTTGAGAAAATGAAGAACTGGATATTCCAAACATAGTTTCAAGATTATAAAGTATTATTAGCACATTGGTGAGTGCTTCTGTACAATAGAATATGACGGTCTTTCTGGCCACAAAAAATACATACCATAAGCATGTTTGCGTAGAATGAAACGCGTAGAATGAAACTCACTTTGTTTAGAGGGATATTATACAACATGACATTACGATATTTAAGATGAAGTCACCATTTCGATTTTCCCCTCAACTGTCTCTTGTTCTGTCTCAGCGTTGTTGTGCTTACTGCAAGCATGGAATGTGGAGCAGAGGTCGACTTTTGCAATAAACTTCTGTGCGTCAACAAGGATAAGAGGTCCAAACTCGAACACCATGGATTTACACTGGTGAAACACACACAAAGAAAAGGAAAGCTCAGAATCATTCAAGCTTTTTCAGTCCTGTAAATGAAAGGTAGTACGAAAGGCAAACGGAAAAATGACACTAAAGAATGAAGATATTTTTTATTTTAAGGGGTTACTGGATGCAATGCAATAAAATATTCGTACCTTCTTTGTGTAACGTCCTACAGCATTACAAGCCTTCAGTAGGATCTGAATTACCTCTAGCTGTATACAAATAATCAGAAAATGAGTTTGGTGAATGGCTTGATAGTTGAGACAACTAGAAGCTACATTAAGGAAAAAAACGCTATCATTATTTCAATCACCTATCTTCGCTAATCTGCAAAATCATTTACTCTGTCACAAGTGACTATATACACATCAAAAACAAGTTACTTTATTCTAGAAAATCAAACATTAATATATTTAACTTGGCAATTACTTGAATATAAATGTCAAGATGGCATACTGCTATTAATGGCCGGAATAACAATAAGAGGGAACACACACACACACAAAAACAATAAATAAATAAACAAATTTGCCTACGAAACCAAAATGTACAGGTTATACTCACAATGCAACCAATGTGCATCTACCATACGAGTATACCACCCCCCCTACCCTCTCTCTAAACACCCCCCCCCCAAAAAAAAAAAAAAAAAAAAAAAAAAACGGTCCATACAATAATATGTCAGAGATTTTGTGAAGCAGCTTAACAGCTCAACACAGATCCCCACTCAACGTTAACATTCTACTAATGGCCAATTCTTTCTCTCTATTTTTTTTTTTAAATTTAATTCAAGTACATTATTATTTTTTTACTCTACTTTCTCCACCTTAATTTATGTGCTCCATACCAATATTAACCTCGAGCTGGGACAGAGGGAGGATGAAACTGTAAAAGCCAAGGTATCTGCTTTGATTAGTCACTCTACAATAAGAAAATCAAGGTATCTTCTTATAAAAATTACTCTACAACAAGAACCTTAGTTGCTATTGACAATAAAAGACATGTTTCTTTGTCAAACCTGGGTAGGGAATGGGAAAAGGAAAGGTTTGGGAGAGTTGGAACTTCCATTTAGCATCTATTCAATCCTAAAACAGGACTACGAGAGCAAGTAATACTTGATTCATTAGAAAATACAATAACAAAGTCAAGTACTGACCTCAGTGTCGGGGTCTTTAAGCTTGTCAAGAGCTTCATCAACAGCTCTGTGGCAAAGATCGCATTTATTTTTCTTTTCAGGAACGGAGGACACCACAACATTTCTACAGAGATCAATTTTCTTGCAAAATCCTTCAGGTTCAACTGATGAAACCTCTAAGAAGAAAAGAGGAGCATAGTAGTTCACCAACAATGTACACTGTCAAAAGAGAAAAAAAAACAGTTTAAAACCTTAGCCTGCCAACTGTAAAGTAACGACTAATATTACAATAACGACACAATATCAAGATATATTTGCTGAGGGATCAAATATATGGGGTGATACTATGCTACGGCTTCAATAACTGAAAGGGCAGACAAAAGTGTAAAGAAAGACATCTAAGCCTCAAACCATTTACTTCTCTTCACAACCCTCTTCATTTTGAGCTTTACATTCGCAAATGATCTTCCAATAAGACATAAAACAACTAGCACAGTTCACTTGTGTATGACATATCTTAAACATCTTCTAATGAGCCAATTATTAATCAGGAAAATACTGTAGCAAAAACTATATTTTGACATGTTAAGAAACCATGTAATAATCATTAGACCAGTTTTCGAATTTGACTGATCACATGAGGCAACTACTTTAACCTAAAATTATTATGAGGAAGCTTATAGAAAGGGAACCAACATACAAGAAATATAAATAAGTTGATGCAAAAATATTAATGAAAGATAGCAAAGAAACAGCAGTGGAGAAAAGAAGAATTGCACAGATTTTGGCAGAGCTAACAAACTCATTCTGCCTTGAAGAACTCAATACCTGCTTCGCCAAACCATGCATTTGTAAGCAGGCCTTGTGAAGGGACTCCATAATCTCGTTACGGGTCTTGTTTTGGTTAAGGTAGTCAAGAGCCAATGTGGTATACTCTTCACACATAGTGCAGACATCAATAGGTCCGGCAATTTCCAAACCTGAAAGTAGGACATCAGATTGTCAACTGACTACACCAGCAACTGATAAAACTAGTTCAAGAATCAAGACAACATCATCTTGTAGAGAGTTGAGATGCTTCAACAATTAACATTAATAATCAAACAGAAGTAAAAAATTTGTAGTAAATAATAGGAACCCATCATAAAGTTTCTTGGAACTTTCCTAGGATATGTAAGCATAGAAAACTAAGCAATTACAACATTTTGGTACTGGTTGTACTTGTTTTTTTGGTCACTACAAGAAGCTTTATGAGGTCCATATGGCCCTAAATTCTTTACCAACCTCTTTATTTCCAAAGTCAAATGCCTTTCATGCAATTATTAACTCAACATACGATTCAAGATGGCTCTCACAAAGACAGCAGCACATCACAACACAAATTCATAAATATCTTTCTCCATATTTTTAGTAACAGAACCTAGATGAGAGTATCAGTATGCCAACAAAACTGAAAAGAAAAAAATTATAGGGCATTGTCCAAGTATGTTAAATTTGTGACCTTCCATCACATCTCAACAGCCTCAATAAAAATACAATCCAGTCAAGGAACATATAATCCAAACCAACATGAAAAAAAAAAAAGAAAATGAAAGTCGACGCCTAAAATACATGCCATTTATTTCCAATACTCCAAAAGGATATCTCGACCATTCAAAAAACCCAACAGTCAATGACATTGGAAAAGAGAAAAAATCACAAAAAATTATGGAACATACACATATAGCCATAATATTTCAAGGTAGTTCTGAAATTCATCAATCGAATGAAATTTGGTGACACATCCAAGGCAAAGGCCTATATGAGGAATATGGAACAGGAAGGCTTAATGCTATCTGGTATTCTGGGTATGAGTTTGTAGACAACATTCATTTGCTCTCGGTTATATGACAACTAAATCAGTATCAATATGGCCAGTATGCCATATGCATGGACATAGTCATTAAGTCACTAATACATTAGACATAAGCAAGCTACGAAATTTAACAATCCCTATTAGAGATTCTGTGAATTAATGTTAACGAACAGAAGAATATAGAAACAGATTTCATAAACAATTAAGGTATGCAGCACCAAAAACAATTGTAACAATAGTAGTATCAATCAGATACTTATATCATAATCACAGAGAATTCGCAAAATCGCAAGCTATATAACAACAGTGATCAAATAGACTTGAAACATAATAGTAAACCATGAAATTTGAGCTATAAAGAAATCAAATGCAGTGAAGTGATCACATAGTCTACAGCTAAGATAAGCTGAAACATTACCTGAATCATCCGAAGCCGCCAAACTTCTAGCATCACACACCAAATTACCAGCCAAAACTAAAAGAACTACGAGCCCGACTCGGACATCCATGATTCCTGAAGTAAAACATACGAAGCTTGGTTAAAAAAAGTCTCTATATTTCTATAAGACTATAACAACAACAATTGGCAATTGATGAAACAATAAGAAGATTATAGGTCATAAATCAGAATTCCAAAGCCTAAGAATCAAAAAATTTGGTTACAACAACAAGTACAACGCAGGTACATCATCATCCATTCCTAACTAGGTTTTTTCAAGAATTGAAAACCCAGTTTAAAATATCAACTAATCAACTTCTTAATCGAATTTTCAGGCCTGATTAGAAATTTTTGAGGTCAACCATGATTCTCAAATAAAAACAGAGAAATTTTCACAAAATTGCGATGATAAATTCAACAAATTCATGGTAATTTCCACAAACAAGAAAAGTGCTTTATCAATTGAATTGATTATTCATACAATTAATAATCAAGATGTTTACCACGAATTAATGGCGGGTTTAATTAAATTAAAGTATAATCACGAAAAAACCCAGAAAAACAGCAACTTTCATCAAATAATTCAGACGAACAATCAAATTATACAATCAAGATTACAACTTTATTAGAAAAAAAAGTCATACAATCAACAAAAACCACTACATAAGACATAATAATCAAAATTAAAAAATTAAACAAAATCAAAGTAGAAAATAATAGAAAAGAATTAGGTACCTGATTTTTTGTAAGGATTGAAGATGAGTAGGAAAGAGATTAAAAAGGTTGGAAAGAAGAAGAAGACTACAAAAATTGAAGAAGATTCCTTAGAGTGGGTTTTTGATGGGGTGAAGTTGAAGTTTTAAAGAATTGGTGAAGAACATGGAATTTAAAGGGCCCACTTCATAATTCTAATAGGAGTATGATTCTTGTATACTCCATACATTGAGATATACTGATATTGACTTTAGGTAGCATACACGACAAGTCAGACAATAATCCTAATTATTACCTCCGTTTCATATTATCTACAACGGAAAATAGAGAAGAAAAATGTCTGATCGTTGCAAATAATATGAAACGAAGGCAGTATAAGATTGGTTGATGATAGTTATTTTATTTTAACTCTGTACTGAGCAATTAGAGGTGTTAATGAACCAAACTTGAGCCTCCAGTCTCGAGTTTTTTCGATCTAAAATTCTCAAATTCAATTTATCTTCCCATGGGATTTAATTTGCAAAAATTAGCATATTAAGTTATAATTTTTTATTTTTAATCTTTTTATTGAGGTAGTAATAAACCGGCCTTTTTTTTTTTTTTTTTTTTTTTTTAATTCAAGCATGAGCTTACATTACATTCTTTAATTCAATTTATTTCAAAACTGAACTTCAATTGCAAAATTTTAACTTTTTTAGGTTAAACTAATGATTGCTTTGGCTTATATGATGCTTCAGATTTTTACTTTTTGTAATTTTATGTTTAGTGAGAATATGCCATGACATAATTAATAATTGTGTCATATTTAAAACAAAAACCATTAAAAGCACAAGAATAAAGAATAACTTATATTTAGATAATCTCAAAGGTATCACGTACGTGTCACCTAAACATTCTTTAAACCGCTACTAAATAAATTTTTATAACTCTATATTTGCAATATTTTCTTAACTTTCCAACATAATAGTACAAATCTTAAACTTTTTACTCCGTAATATCTATCTATCTATATATAGATATATATATATATATTTTTTTTCTAAAAAATCGAGATTGTTAATAACCTTTTCTAAGTTGAGCTTAGATGTTTAATTAGCATTTAATATTTGGGAAATTCTCATTGGTAGCCTCGTGCTTTTGCGTATTTCCATTGGTAGCCACTTTTTATATGAATTATCTTTGGTAGCCTCGAACTCTTAACGTTTTCACTTCCGTAACCATATTTAACATAATCCGTTAAAATTTAACTGAATTAATTAAAATGTAATTAATTTTTTTTTAAAAAAAAAAATTAGAACATTCCTCCCACGCATTAGCCCAGGCCAGCCACCTCCCTCACCTAGTCCCCTCTGCCGGCGCAATGCCTTTAGCGCCAAAGCTGGAGTCATTAAGGGCTCAAGTAATCAATTGGAAGGTGTTTGAATCCAATCTGACATCAGTTGATGATGAGGAAGCATCTTCTTCTTCGACTACTCTTTTTACTTCATTAAAAGAGTTGGATGTCTCTACAATTGAAGATGGACCTAATTCTCTGTCAATCAGTAGTAGGTTCTCTAATCTACAAAGTATACAAATAGGTTGTTGCAACGAACTGACAAGTTTGATGACAGAGTCGCTAAATCCCATTAGGCATCTCCAAATTTATAAGTACGTTCAAGAGCTTAAAAAAATCCAAACCTTGTCTGTTTGCTGGCTGGTGTTGCGGGGTTCGCCGATTTGGTGCGTGAGGGAGCAGGGGCTTGAGTATTCGGGAATTAGGGCTGGGGGTGTCGGGAATTGGGGTGTTGGGAAGTGGGCGCCAGTGGAAGGGGAAGCTTGGGCACTGGCGCCGTCGCCGTCGGTGGAGGTGGAGATGGGAGAAGGTGGATGGGTGGTTAGGGGAAGGGTTGTTATTTTTATTTTTTTTTAAGATTAATTAAATTATGATATAACTAACTTAGTTAAGTATTTTTTAATTGTTATAAAACTAACCTCGGTTAAACTTAACGGTCAACTAACGGTTTTAGCTCAATAAGGTTATGGAAGTAATTTTTTAAGAGTTGGCGGCTACCAAAGATAATTCATATAAAAAGTGACTACCAATGGAAATACGCAAAAGTACGAGACTACCAATGAGAATTTCCCTAATATTTTTGAATCAATCCTGAATAATTTGCGAGTTGAAATCAGCTTGTTAACACCCCTATAAATATCATTTAAAACTAATCTCAGCTGTTAAGTGTGATTTTCAAAAAAGATTTGCTAGTGTTAGGATTACAAAGATCAAGAATTATAATTATAAATCATGAACAAGCTAAGCATCTTCCAATATATTTTATCCAACTGAATGTACATGAAGTATGTACAATACTTATATGTGGCTGACTACATGGTGTGACCACTTAACATGTAAAACAATTAATTAAAAAATAGGGGGTCATGGGCCTCATAGTGACGAGTAAATGGGATTTTTCTTTGATTTTTTAAAAAGAAGAAAGTAGGAGTTACTCGAATGAACAAATGAGGTTACTAGTTTCTAAAGTAGTTGATATTACTCATATAATGAATTGAAGTTACTTTATTATACAAAATGAGGATACTCTTATGAAAAAATAAGGTTACTCTTATTTATAAATAAGGATTATTCCTAATTTCCTATAAACCAATGTGGTCACACCGTATTGCTAGTAGGGGTGAACATTGTTTGGTTTGGTGCGGTTTGAGTCCAAACCAAACCAAACCGCAAAATACGGTTTGGTAAATTTTTTAAACCAAACCAAATCATATTAGTATTGAAACCAAACCAAACCAAACCGTAATAATACGGTTTGGTGCGGTTTATGATGAGATGATATTTTTTTTTCAAAAATTGTCAAATAATACTTCACTAATTTATAATAATATTTAAATAAGTAGCCGAAACGGATTAAATTGTACTACAAAGTTACAATAAAAATATCAAGTGCTAACACATAATAAAAATAATACATAACAATAAAAGATATTCATATGAGTACTACATTATAGTCATTAATTATGGAGTATTGACGGTATAGTTTTTATTATTTTTCATGGTTTTTTATTTATTCTTTAATTTTATTGAAAAATTATATAAATATAAAAATACGATTTATTGGTTTACGGTTTGGTTTGGTTTATAATTTTTGCTAAACCAAACCAAACCATAAACCATATTTACAAAAAAATCGAGACCAAACCGTAATTTTATAAACCGTAAACCAAACCAAACCGCTAAAATACGGTTTGGTCTGGTTTGGTTACGGTCCAGACCAAACTGTGTACAGCCCTAATTGCTAGCCACATACAAGACTTACTTCCAAATATAACATTGATCATCTTGATAAACCCTAAAGTCCCTAATCTATTACAAGTATTTGTTAGGTACTATATAATTTGCAGCAAAGGAAACTTCCCCTGATTAAATGACTAAATGAGTGATAACTGATAAGAGTGCTTGGATTTAGTGGTGTACCTTATATATTGTGGTAGAAGATTTAGTTTCTAAGTTTGGAACTCGGAGGAAGCTTATATGAAAAGGGCTTTTGATTTTATTGTTGGGCTGGCATCCCAGCCTGATCTGCACTTAACTAATCCAAAGGACAAAATAAAAATGGATGGTAGAATAAAAATCTTTATAAAAAGATACGAGTATCGAATTAATCATTGAAGATGGTCTAAGTATGATTAGTTAAAAAAGGTTTGAGGTATAAAACGGAGGTTGAGGCAAAAAGGTGGATGGGAACTATTCACCATTTCTTTAAACTGTTTTGGAGAGTGAAGATTCACCTCCTCCCGTGAAAATAAGTGGTTAGGAATTTTCATTTAAGCCATGTGTCGCACCTAACACTATAGTTGGTGGTGTTTTATCTACTATGCAAAGTTTAAGGTACTCAGTGCACCTAAGTCATACTTTAGGGTGTTGCGGACAATTTTGCTTACAAATTATGCAATTTTACACTTACTAGTTTTTAGCTAATCATTGATTGTTTGCTTTACTATCTTGTTAGATGGCTCAAATTTTATAAGCTCATTATTTGGTGGAACGTTTGTGCAAATTTTTAAAGTTTTCGGAAAAAAAAAAAAATCAGCGAAGTTAATTTATCCGCATAATTTCTCTTGAATTATTTACTTAAACGTTCAAGAAAATTCTTCACATTGGAAGCAACAAGAAATATGGTTCGTGAATATTCTAGAATATTATTATGGATAAGAATGATGAAGGGAGTTTTGGAATATTCATTTCTTTCTACCTCCATCTACAACTATAAATGTTAATGATGGACATTCAATCAAGGGATACATATACAAAAATCCATATCTATTCACACATAAGCCTTTAACACATTTTAACCTCCTTATAAATCTTTACCTATTTTCCTTATCTACTAATCAACTATTTCTTTTTGCCCTCCTACTCCTTTGCATGGGAGTTGTATAGTGAGAGTTTGCTTGTACTCCTATTTTTTACAATGTGAATTAATGTTGTGTGTCCTTTTCTTTTTTACTATTTATCTTGCCTTATTGCAATTCCGCTATATAGGTTTATTGTGGTTATAGGCAGCCTGATACTATTCTTAGTTTCTTACTACTTTTATCACACACACAAAAAAAAAAAACAAAAAAAAAAAAATAAAAAAAATAAAAAAAATTCACGAAATGTCTCTAAAAAATTTATCACAAAAGTTTTTAACAAACTCTAATTTAGGTGGTAGCAAAGTTAAAAAATAAAATAAAATAAAATAACCGATAGCAAATGTGAAGCGAGTATTTTCCCTGATAACAAATGTCAAAATTTTCCACCTTAAATGACTTGTATATAAGCAACACATCTATCTATCTATATTTTAGTATTTAAAAACAAAAACCACAAATCTAAAACTAAGCCCCATGCCACCATAATCACTCATATGTCACATGTCACCTTTTTTTTTTTTTTTTTTTTTTTTGAATGTCCAAAAAAAAAAAATCCTTTCTTTTTAAATTCTCATTTTAATATAAAAACAAAATATATATAAATAATGTTTGATTCTTTAATCTTTATGCATTCTAAAACTTACAAATTTAAGTAAGAAAATTGAGTGTTTAATATTCAATATAATAAGTTAAAGTTAAACTAATTAGTGTTCATTACATTAACAATAAAATAGTCTTTTCATCTCCTAAACTTAAATATAACTTAAACCAATGTGTCATTTCATGCCCTACAATATCTATGTATATATACCCAACTAAATTCAACAACACCACCGACACTTTTCAAGAAAAATAACTTAAGTAACAACCCGTGAATCGAACGGAAAAAAAATTACAAACCATGACCTTAAGTGATAGGCAATTAATATGAACAAAAAATGTATAAAAATGAGAAATCATTATCACAAATTCACAAATTTGTAAACTTGTATGTTATACTTTTGTTAAAACTAGACATATGCCAGATATTAGACACTACATTTCACATTCTATTTTAATTATAGTTTTACGAAGGTAAAAAACAAGCTAATTATTAGGAAAACTACAAGTCATTCTTGGTTGTCATCCAAATATCAGGGAATTTTTATTTGTAAAGCACATAAATATTTAACAAAAGTGCAAAATTCTAATGATTTACCAAAAAAAAGAGGGGGTGATTTGGTGAGATCACCAAATATGGAGTCCCCCTTAGCCATTCTCACGACCCTTCTTAGCATTATAGGCCTTAATAATCATTCTTCATCCCCATCTTCGTTCCCACTCGTATCGTCTCCTTTATTCCCTTCCGCACCATCTCCGTCTCCATCTCCATCTCCATCTCCATCTCCATCTCGGGGAGGAGAAATAAATACGACTGCGATTAGTGACAAACTCAGAGTAGATTTCTACAATTTAAGTTGCCCAAATGTAGAGCAAATAATTGGTGATGTTGTTTGGAAAAAATCACAAGAGAATCCAGGAATTGTTCCTGGTATTATCCGTCTTCATTTTCATGATTGTTATATCACGGTAAGTTTATAACAAAATTCATATTCATCCATAAATTATAATGTTGCATCTATATGTTGAATGAAAACTTTGTTAATAAAAGGCATAAAAAAATATCATTTTAATTCCGAAAAAATATATATAATTCTTCATGAAATTTTTTTCAATTTGCACAATGCACGCAATGACATTAATCGACAACCTTTTAAGAAAGATGATGATACAAATTAAACTATTAAAGTAAATATTGTAACCACATTTTTTTAATCAAATGGACCATAAAAAAATACGTCAGTTGTACGACATTTTCATATCTTGTCAAATAAACCTCCACATTTTAAAGTGACCATTAACAAAGCAAGTTTTTATTTTATTTTTTGTGGCACATATGCAAGGTAAAATATAAGAGATTGGTGGTAAAAATTGCTAGGCAACCTATAATATAAAGATTTTAATTTATTTCGGTTTAAGCGATTATCTAGATTTCTAATGCAGTAAAATGGTGATTAAAGGTGATTTTTTTTTTTCCTTCATGCACATAATAATGCTAAGATTGCTAGCTCACTGTGATCATAACAGGGATGTGATGCATCAATCCTTCTCACCGCTCAAAGATACAACTGTTACGACGCAGAAATGACATTCCCAGCAAATGGAAATTCCTTAAGGGGCTTGGATGCCTTAGATGCTGCGAAGACAGAGGTTGAGAAGCACTGTCCCGGTGTAGTATCCTGTGCAGATCTTTTAGCATACGCAGCTCGAGATATGATTGTTTTATCAGGAAACCCGAAATATGATGTTCCTGCAGGACGTCGTGACTCTTTCAACACTCCTGGTGGCCTTGCAAGTGCCCTTCCTAAGGGAAATGATACTGTTGCTTTTCTGCAACAAGCGTTTGCAGACCGAGGTCTTACGTTACAGGACATGGTCGTGCTAGAGGGGTCACACTCGATAGGCCAAACCCGATGCCAGAACACGATTGCAGAAGTTGGGTCGATGGATAAAATGCCTGATACAGCAAAGTTTGTTGACAAGCAGTTCCTGCAGATGGAGAAGCAGAAGTACTGTCCTGAATCTAAGGAAGTGTTGTTCGGGGAGTTAAGAGTACCTTTGTTTCCCGACAATCCTAATAACTCCGATTGGGGCAACGCCTTCTACAACCACATTATGAAAGGCAGGGGCTCGCTCCCTTTCGATGTATCACTAGCTGTTGAACAGACCACAAAAGGTATGGTCCAACGTTACGCCTCAGACAGTGCTCAATGGCAGAAAATGTTTAATGAAGCCATGGTCAAATTGGGAAAGGTTAATGTGCTTACAGGAGACCAAGGCGAAATCAGGAGGAATTGTAAATGGATTAACGCGGTTTCTACAGCATAATTACTAATTTATAGTCCAAAATTTACGCGATTATCTCCTCCTTTGTACCAATCATTTACTTAATGTGCAAGGCTAATAAACTAACAGAAGAACCACCCTGTGACACTGTTTTCAATCTTTACTACTTTCAGACGATTTTTGTTAGTCTTAATTGTATCACTTAATAATTGAGGCTACCAAGTTAATTTACTAAGAGTATATATTTAGTTGGTTATTCCATATTACTATCTAAAAAGAGGGTACAACATTTTACTGCGACGTCTATGATCAAGAATGGTGATACTCACTCAATAGCGTGAAAATCTAACATTACATCGTCTTCAATCTTCATCACATATTCACATTTACTGCATAATACCAAGTACGTGTACTGCATAATATTGATCGATATATGATTTCGACACAAATTGACACACATATCCATTTGGTTGTACCATGGTGTTTTAACATCTTCACTATAGGCAACTTATTGTATGTTTAACATTTTCCTAAAACATATGGAGTACTTCCTAATATTTGTTATTTAATGTAACATCAACTAATGTAATACGAATCGACTCGTCAAAATTGGACCAAATAAACCGTGAAGATTAAGGTCTGGTCAGGGTCCTTATCAAGTAAAAAAAATAAAATAATGTAATACGAAGTATTTTTTACAACACATGCCAATTGCTTTGCTTTGCCATCCAGAGTTCACTGTTTATAAAATACAGTAATGATTAAAAAAAAAAAAAGAGCACAAGAGACAACATTTTAGTCATGTAGTCCAACGGCTACTTTAAATCATAAATGGCATGCAGTAAAGCCGCAAATTCTGCTTACATGGCACATTAACAAATCTCTTTTTTTGATGATCAACGGCTACTTTACCACCATAATAATAGTAATAATTAAAAACAAAAGGGTGTAACGGCTATATTTCACTATGCATGCTGACGGTTGACCCTAACACCATCATACTGTTATGATAAATTAATCAAGCAGGAAATTCACCATGAAACTTGGCAAATTTCTGAGGCAGAAACATACATGTAGCATGTAACACAAGACGATTAAGAAATAAGAACGCTTAGCTTTTATAATACAAAGAAGCACGGCCGAGCTAATACATGGTAAGTACTCAATAGAAACATAGGGACAGGAAGTAAATCCAGACAATTAGAATTATAAGTACAAGAAATAGAATGGTATACAAAAACATACAAATAATGTTATAAACTAGCAGTCAGGTTATACATCAAGTAGCAATTCTTGTAAGGCATTTTTGTTACCTTGCCGCGGAAGTGGGCTGCTTCTTTTTCTTGCTTTGCTTGGGCAAAAGCATTGAGAATCGTCCGAATCCAAGCTTCTTCCTTTTGGCAGGCAGCTGCTTTTGAGAACCCCCACAGTCACTCTCCACCTTCCAAGCAGAGGATATGACAGCGTTCTGTTTCCCGAGCATCTGACCCAATGAAACCTTCCGTTTAACATTACTTTTCCCTGATTCATATTCTTCGGTGATGAGCAACTTCTGGCTAAGTATTTGCCCTATTGACAAGGTTGACTTTAACACGGGGGCTTTCGCGTCACTTACTAGATTAACACCATTCACATCAAGCACCCAAGAATCTCTCCTTCGGTTTGAAGGGTAAGGATTCTTGAATTTGGTTGAGTTTTGTATGGAACGCCTTCGCTCTCCATGCTCAGATCTCCACTTCCGAAGAGCCTCCTCAACACCAAGCTTAGCCCTATTGGCAGCCTCAACTCTGTTCAAAGCATCTTCCAATGCCTGTTTAGAGGTTTCAACTTCGTCCATGGCTTCTTCTACCCTCTTCATAATATCCATTTTCGATACATTTGCTTCATCAACTTGAAGTGCTGCCTCAAGGGCTTTTATATTGCAACTTTCCTCGGCATCTTGAGCCTTGCTTTTCAAGGTAGAGTATTCTTCAAGAGTAAGTGTTACTTTTTCAAGGTTTTCCTCAGTAGTTGAATTCTCGCTCTGCTCTATAGCCTTGATCTCAGCAAGAGCAACAGCTTCAGCAGCCTTCGCTGCTAACTTCATTTTTCTAGCAGCAACCAATCTGAACTCGGCTGTCTTTACCTTAGCCTTTGTTTGTTCAATCTCTGACATGACCTTCATGACTTCAGACTTTGCAGTCTCTCCTTTCTTCTTGAAATCTTCTGCCTCATCGCTCAACCGTTGAAGCTCCGCTGCAATGTCCTTGCTACCGTTGTTAGCTTCCTTGGCATCTTCCAGTTTAGATTTTTTGTGGTTTATTTCTTCTTCAAGTGAGGAAACCTTCAATGTGTTCGATCTCAGTCTTTCACGAGTTTTCTCCAAGGACACCCTTTCTCGCTCTATCTTCTTGTTGTAAGATTCCACAGATGCTCGAATTTCAGCAAGATCACTCGTTGTCTTGGTAAGGTTCAACTTAGCCTGTTTAAGTTCCATCAATATCAAACCCGGAGTTGATGATGGTACAAGGTTTGAACCTTCTGGAAGCTTCTGAGCTGAGAGATTAGGATTATTCTCCTTCTCTTCTGCAACGGACTACGTGGTACGGCAATAAATAGCTAAGACGGGAATTGTTTGATTGATTAATGGCAGCTAAAAGCTTGCGAGAAAGATAACAATGGCTTTAGGCCATTACTCTCCAAGAGTTCCTTACAAATTTCTGCTTTTCTCTTCTACTCTTTTCTCACCTATTTATACTACTACAACTCATACTACAACTCATACGTAATCGGACAAAACGCCTTAATTGCTAAATTTACTACAATTTGTCAACAAGCTAGAGTTACCACAGTTAATAAGCTAATACTCCAAAAGTGTCCCCTGCTACACTCAGATAACCGTTGCTTGTGTTGGTGTTGGTGGAGTGTCCTGCTGCCCCTGCTGTTCCTGTCCCCTCCTTTGCCTTCTGCTATACACCAAAATAGGTGGAGCTTGTGGGTGTATTGCAATACCGGCCCCCAAAAGAGCCACCTTGTCCTCAAGGTGGAAGCTCGTAAACTGCTCTTTGACTGCTACGGCATCCTCCCATGTAGCCTCAAATTCTGGAACCCCCAACCACTTAATTAACACCTCAACTCGACCTTGCTGCCCATTCTTGCGCCTAACATCCAACACCTCCTCTGGTTCAACCACCATCTCCAACTCCGGGGTCAATTGTGCGGGGATGGTGGGGGAAACATGAATACCACCAACAGCGCGCTTCAATTGCGAAACGTGAAAAATGGGATGAATGCGACATTCCTCCGGCAATAATAACTTATACGCCACCTGACCCACACGCTGCACCACCTCATAGGGTCCATAGAAGCGAGCCGCTAGCTTCTCAAAAGGCCTCCTAGCCAAAGACCGCTGTCGGTAGGGTTGTAATTTGAGGAACACAAAGTCCCCCACCTGAAACTCTTCATCCCGACGCTTACCATCCGCATTACTCTTCATAATCTGCTGAGCACGCACCAAATTGAACTTCAATTCGTCCAAGATTAAGTCCCGTTCTTGCAGCAATTCCTCCACGGTGCCCACCGAAGTATGTCCTGCTCCCACCCGTATCAATTTGGGAGGCTCTCTACCGTAAACCGCCATAAAAGGAGTAATCAGTGTAGCGGAGTGAGGGGTGGTGTTGTACGAAAATTCGGCCCACGGCAGCCACCTTGCCCAAGACTTGGGCTGACCCCCCGCGAAGCAGCGGAGATACGTTTTAAGCCGCTTGTTTACCACCTCCGTCTGTCCGTCGGTCTGGGGGTGGTAGGAGGTGCTGCGCTTCAAAACAGTCCCCTGCAACCGAAATAACTCTCTCCAAAAATTGCTCAAAAACACTCTATCCCGATCCGATACAATGCTGGCCAGAATTCCATGAAGCCGGACCACCTCCTTAACAAACACCTCCGCCACCGTATACGCCGAGAAAGGGTGCTTGAGCCCAATAAAATGGGCGTACTTCGACAATCTATCAACTACCACAAATATGGTATCCACTCCCTTCGATCGGGGTAAACCCTCTACGAAATCCATGCTTATATCCTCCCATATTTTCTCGGGGATGGGCAGCGGTTGCAACAACCCTGCCGGAGTTTGTTGAGAGTGTTTATTCCTCTGACAAATTGAGCAGCTTCGTATATATTGCATCACATCCTTCCGCATCCCACCCCAAAACCAATCCGCCCCGATTTTCAAATAGGTCTTAGTTTCACCGACATGTCCTCCCTCCGGTGAGTCGTGATAGACTCGAAATAGGGTGGTTTTGTGCACCGAATTCCTTGGAATGACGACCCGACCCTTGTACAGCAACTGATGATTGTCCACCGTATAACCACGGGGTCCTTGTCCACCCTCGACCTCCGCGATTAATTTCTGAATTTCGCCACTTCTCGCGATTTCCTCCTTCAATTCATCCCAGTTCACCAATTGCGTGGCCACGATCGCGTTACATTCCCCTTTTTTCTCATCCTCGCCACGCCTCGACAGGGCGTCGGCCACCCTATTGGCCACCCCGGGTTTGTATTGAAGTTCAAAGTCAAACCCCACCAATTTCCGAACCCATTTATGAAATTCCATCCCAATTTCCCTCTGTTGTGTTATGTATTTGAGGCTTTGTTGATCGCTTCGGATTACAAATCTTCGACCCAACAAATAGTGCTTCCATTTCTCCACGGCGAGGCAAACCGCCATCAATTCTTTCTTATATATCGATTTTCCTTGTCCTCTAGGGACGAGCACCTTACTAAAGAAGGCCACCGACTTCCCACCTTGCATCAAAACTACTCCGAGGCCGTACCCCGAAGCATCCGACTCCACAACAAATTCCTTCGAAAAATCGGGCATGATGAGTACGGGCGCCGAGATCATCGCTTGCTTCAAGGCGTTAAACGCCTCATCGGCGGCCGGAGTCCACCCGAAACAGTCTTTCTTGAGTTGCTCTGTTATTGGCCTTGCGATATGAGCGTAGTGATGAATGAATTTCCTGCAGTATCCTGTCAAACCCAAAAACCCCCCTCAAATCTCGGATGGACTTCGGTGTGGGCCAAGAAACCATTGAGCCCACCTTCTCTTGATCTACAGCACATCCCTCTTTAGAGATTATGTGGCCCAAGTAAG